ACACACACATACATCATACACATACATCATACACACATACATCATACATACATCACACACACATCACACACACATCACACACATACATCATACACACATCACACACACATCACACACATACATCATACATACATCACACACACATACATCATACACATACATCATACACACATACATCATACATACATCACACACACATCAAACACACACATACATCAGACAAGAACCACACAACTTTTTCACTTTCTTTCCTCCTGTTGAAGAAGAAGAAGTTGTACCCGTCCAAGCCGTCACAGAGGCAGAGCTGCTCAGGTTTCCGCTGTTGGTCGTCACGGTGACAGTGTAGCGGCGTCCAGACATCAGGAGCATGAAGGTGCACTCTGTGGAATCCCAGGGGAGGAGCCTCTGAGCCACCTCGGAGGCAGAGTCTGCTTCCCTGACAACCACAGTGAAGCCGTCCCACTGACCGATGGGTGGAGTCCACAGGACGCTCAGAGACGTTTGATCAACATGACGGACGAGCAGCTGCTGCACAGGACAAGGAGCTGGAGGGAATCAATCAATCAATCAATCAATCAATCAATCAATCAATCAATCAATCAATAAATCAGTCAATCAGTCAATCAATCAGTCAAACAATCAATTAATCAATCAATCAATCAATCAATCAATCAATCAATCAAAAACATGATCATCAAAAAGGAATTTTATTTCAAATTTAAACTTTAAAGACACAGGATGATAACCATTGTCAATATGAACTCACCCAGCTGTCCATAACAGAATGCCGTGTTACCCATAATGCCACTGTGAACCCTGACCTCTGCCCTGTAGAGGCGTCCTGGCACCAGGCCGAGGACGGAGAAGACAAACTGAACGCTCAGTTTATTCACAGTCGTGTTCACCAGAATCAATGAGTCATTCCACAGCAGCACACTGTAACTCTCCCAGTCACCTGAGGGGGGCACCCAGCTGAGCCTCAGTGACCTGCCGTCATCGAAAGGAGACATGGAGAGAGACGACACTGGGCGAGGGACTGACGCACAGTGAGGGGGGGGACAGTCGTTAGAGAGCTCAGCGTTTCTATAATGATGATGTCATTATGATGTTATCAAGTCATCATGATGCACCTGACTCACTCACCTGTTCTCCCTCTGGTCATGGCCTCCGTACTCCAACCTCCAGCTATGCTCTTGATTGACAGCTGGTAGCTCCGTCCGGGCATCAGACCGTGAAACACCACCCGGGTAATGTTGGGCGGGAGGCGGCAGTGCTGCGACGCTGATCCATGAGCTGATAGGGTGAGCTGGTAGACATCCACGCCCCCTGCAGGGGAGAGCCAGGAGGCGAGCAGAGCGACGGAACTGTTGTTGTTGTCGAGGGTCAGAAGAGTCACAGCTGCAGGAACTGAAACGACAGAAGAAACAACATCACGTTTCTTTAACCAATGTTAAAGAGTGAGTCTGTGTTGAACACCAGAGGCTCGAGAACGAAGCCTTGAGGAACTCCAATACATGATTTATGTCAGTGTCGCTCCATGATGATGTCACAATGATGTCACTCTGAGTGGACAGCTTGTAAAATTAACGTGCGTCACTGAAAAGAGTCGAAATACTCTAGGTGCAGTCAATCATGTGAGGATTCACACCAGTTCTGGATTGTAACAGAACTAAACAGCTGTTTTTTTGTTTACATGGGTGCGAAGGTCTTGAGCTTTAAAAACATCCCATAATATGTACCTGTGACAGCCTGTATGGAGGTGGAGCTCTGTAGGCCGACAGCCTCTGTTACCACGGTGACAGTGTAGTGGGTCCCTGGTTGCAGACCGTCCAGCTCAGCAGACGTCACCGTGTTTTTTAGAGTGACATTCTTCAACAGAACCCCGTTTTGATCCGTCAGCAGAACCAGGTACTGCACGGTTCTTCCCGGACCTGCCTGCCAGGCCACCCCGAGGCTGTGTAACGACGCTGACGCCACCTGGAGGCCACGGACAGAGGAGGGAGCTGCACAGGAAAGAGGAAGTAATCAGTTCTTTGACCTCAGTAACAGTACATGTACTTAAGTATAATATA